TGCATTCTATATATACATGTGTGTGTGAGGATAAATAAATGCGATGGGCATTGATTTTCAATTAAAAAAATATATTTTAATTAAAAAAATTAAACTATTAAATAAAATTATAAAACATAATTTATATTATTTTCGAAATGACGTTGATGTAAGGTATGACCTATGGTGCATAAATCGTAGACTATGGCCGTGGACTATGAGCACGTGGATCGATCCACAAAATCCTCGACATAGAAATGTCTTTTTCGCTAATCTCTGCTACAATGACCACTTGCTTATCAAAACTTTTGATAAGCCGCAAATTAACATGAGTGGTATTGTAAATTAATATGAGTGGTACGCACGGTGCTTTATATACAAGTTACTATGACAGCTGTTTTAATTAAAATTAGTTAGATATTTGTGTTATAATATGATCGAACAACTATTATATACATAAGGTCAATGATTTATATAATACAGTATAAATAAAAATCTTATTCATCGTAATTAATATAAATCAAATTCATTTATTGAGTAAAATCGTTTGATTTATACATATTTATTAACAAAATAATCAATAATAATAGCATAAAAAGTTATATTTGAATAATTGAAAGGTTCTTCCAAAATATTTTTTCAATTATTTTATTTAAAAAATATTGATTTTAGAAAATAAAAAATAATATATAACAAATAATTGGTCTTATGTATACGGATACATAACTAATTTCTAATAAAACTAATTATATATATTTCAATTATTTTATTTAAAAATATTGAATTTAGAAAAAAAATAGTGTTATGTATGAAGATACATAATTAATTTCAAACAAAACTAATAATATATATATATATATATATATATATATATATATATATATATATATATATATATATATATATATATCACACTTAATAGATTCAAAGTATACAAGTATAAATATTTGTTTAAAAAAAAACATCTAAGTTGTATGGAATATATTAAAATAAAAAAATTGAAACAAAAACTACTACAAAATTAGTTTTCATCAATTTTACTTCTTAATCTATGATGAAAGAGATTCTTGAATTGCAAATTAAATTATAAATTGGTTCATCTCGTCTTGAGAAATGAATTAATTAATTCTTTTGGTTTTAAAAATAAATTATTTAATTTTTTTAACTAGTGTTGACCATGAATAATTTATTTTTTTATTTCATAACATTTCTTTTTTCATATTTTTACTTATATATATATATTTTTATTCCTTCTCTATTTCTTAAAACAAAATAAAAAATATTGAAATAGGAAAAAAGGACAACAAAATTAGTTTTTTAACCAAAGGGACTAATTAATTTATTTCTCAAAGAAAGAAAGACTAATTTATAATCACTCTTTAATAGCAAGTGGCTTTGGCTTCCCTATTGAAAATAAGAAAAAAATAAAATAAAAAAAAGATAGGAGCATTAAAAGCTTAATTTGAAAAAGAAAGGAAAGAAATGATGAAAAAGGGCCTAAAAAGAAAATTAAAAGGAGAATCGATCAAGGATAAAAATGGATTGTCTCAAATCCATCGAGTGGCAAAAAAAAAATAACGAAAAGCTAGAAAGCAAAAATCAAGCAACACAATGAATAGTAAATCTAAGTCTAAAACAAAAGTAAATGAATAGTAAATATCTCAGTTCTTTTAGTTTTTTTCTACTAATATATATTAAATTAAAAATAAAAGATAAATTCTTTTATTTAATTTCATAATTTTTAATCAAACTTATTATTTCATTCGTTCTTCTTTATGTTTTTCATTGATTTTGTTGTTAAAAAAACACGATTTTTTTTTATTCATTCATTCTTGAATAAAAACCTACAATAATAAATATAAAATTTTTAAAAACATCTTAATATTTTTTTTATAAGACTACATCGGAGAAATATATCAACAATCAATATAAAAATTTGTATAAAAATTAACTAACGAATCTTTTTAAACTTTTTAAAAATATTTACATTCGATACATAGACACACACACACACAAAAACAATCAATAATATTAGGTATAAAAATATGTATTTGAATTATTAGGTGGTTCTTTTAAAATATTATTTTATTTAAAATAAATTAAATTTAGAATATTAAAAATAATTAATGAAAAATAGTTGGTGTTATATGTATAGATGTATAATTAATTTTTAATAAAATCAATGATTTCAATACTTTTTTGTATACATCATTGTCATACTTTTTACAAATTAAAAAATATGTTTAAAAAAACTTAAGTTGTAAGAAATATACTAAATTTAATAGCGTGCGATAAAAATAATTTAAAATTTTATTTAAAAAAAATTGAGTATATCAAGAATAAGGTAAAGAAATATGTGAATTTTATTATTTATTAAAAAAACATATTAAAAAATCATACATAGAGAAAGATAAATCATACATATTTATTAACAAATAAAATTTCATAAAAAATAAAAAAATATAATTTGATGAGAATTTTTATAATAAATGATAAATTTAAGAGATTAATTTTAATCAATAAAAAATATAATCCAATATATGTGTTTATTCTAAAATTTAAAAGCATAGCAAGCCTAAAACATCTTTTAAAAATATGAGAAACAAAAAATATATTTTGAAAAAAATATAAGACAAAAATGGACTAAATTAAAAATATGAGATGTCAAAATATTGTTGAAAATATGAGGATTTAAAAAAATATTTTGAATAGATAAGTGAGAATAAAAGAGTTTTATGGTGAGTGACAGAGAAAAACAATAAGATTTTATGAGCTTAGTTAGAGAGTGATGTGAAAATAATATTTAAAGACTTATATTTTGTTAATTAGTGTGCTATAAATAAATTATGGTGAGTATTGTGTGAGTTATTTTAATTATACTACTAGCTAATTTATCATTGTTAGTAATGTAATAAATTTATATTTCTATTTAAAACTATCAAATCGAACTACTCCAAACTCAACAAGTGATGCTAGAGCTTAATGATCAGCAAGGATGTGTTAGAACTTGGCAGTTAAGAAGGTCGTGTCACAGTTGGTGATCTAAGACCATTATTCAAGCAAATTAGTTTTATTCTTTCACCATCCAGGATTTTGAATCATGCTTAATTGCTGGTCTTTTTTAGGTTTATTTTGTTTTACATATTGCATGTCATAGAGGTTATAGACATAGACTGGTTTGTCCAAGTTTTAGGAACATCTGGACGACAGGTCGTTTCGATGAATCTCGAATTTATCCTGTCGTCTGCTCTCAATGTTCAATTAGGTCCCTGTACATTTAGGTTTGCTTCCGTTTTAATCCTTAGGAGTCATTATGGTCCTTGAATTTTTATTTTTTTCAATTAGGTTCCTATACCTTGTAATTTTAATCCTGCAGTTTTCAATTGTTTTAATTGTACCCTCAATTGCTCTAACTATGATTTCATTTGATTCTATTGCTCCAATTGTTTTTTTGCATTAATTCTAATAAAGTAAAAATAAAATAAAAAATAAAGTAAGATCAAACTCAAAACAAAAATAAAGAGGAGGAAATTTTAGGTTACAATAGCGATTCTCTCTTTACAATGTTAATGGTGCAAATGTCGACTCGAAGCATAAATTTTAGACTCGGATTTGCGTAGTGAGTTTGTAAAAAAATAAATAAATAAATAAATCGAATAATAAAAATGGTCTCGGTCGTTCCAAGTGATCTTTTTTTAAAAAAGTAAAATGTGATGATTTTGTTATGAAGAACGAGTCTATCTTGAAAAGTAAAATATGATAGTCTTATTGTGTAGGGTGGTTTGTCTTGAAAAGTAAATACTATAGTCGTTAGGTAATTTTGTCTAAAACAATGAATTGGATAGACAACCTCGCTCGAAAATGAGAAAATATATATTTTGTTCATGTTTTTCAAAAAATATATGTACATTTTAAAATAATATTTGGACAAATTTTTAAAAAATAAACTTTAAATAAGGGTATTTTATAAAACTAAATCATTTAAAGTTTTAGTCGATAAATATTTTATGACAAATATAAATAGGAATATCTGATTTCTCCAAAGAGATGCTAAAATTTACGAATTTGTCTAATAACATGAATCAACTACCAAATAATAAACTAAAATATTCTAATTAGGAACTAGCAGCATACATTGGAATCTCAAAAAAGAAATACTTAATTAGTAATACTACATTTTATTATCAACCGACTTGATGCAAGTAATTAATTAAGACAACATGGATGGCATCAATCCAACCATCATGAAAGAAAACAAACAAACATATATATATAGGCCGGACTAAATATTAATTACTTTTGTGTGGTTGTTCAATATATTTGTCTCACTTGGGTTGGTAGAATCAAGACTAGGTAGTAGCTTCACTAATTAATTACTGGTAATTAAGATAAAACCTGTCATATTAACGCGTAAATTGAACACAAACAATCCCCTCTTTCTTAATTAATTACTCATTATATATCCTTAGGTTTTGGAATTGAACGTCAGCTTTCTGCTGCATGCATCAGATCAATTTCTAAGTATCCTCTATTCACCAGCTGGCTGCTGCATGCATCTGAACGTAACTTTTTATATATATATATATATAGTTAAAAACGAGTTGTTGATTGTAAGATTTAAATCTTTTAAATAAAATTTAATTTCAATTATCAAACGTAAGCGTCTATTCAAGACCAGGAGGAGTCCAATTTATTTGACAGATATATGTTATGAGTGAGGACACCCTTAGATATAGGTTGAAAGGTCAACTAGCGGCTCAGTGGGTTGTCTATTTAAAAAATTTTACCCATTATAGATTATCAAACATGTTACAAATTTACAAAATTTTCTTACATAAAGCCACGCAAGAAACCCCAACATGTCAAGAAAAATATTAGATATGTATGAAAAAAAAACGATATTATAGTGTGTGGGACAATTCAGGACTCTTCCTATTGATTTTTTTTTTTTTTAATCTATACAAAGCCACACAAGGAACGCCAAGCATGTCAAGAACGATAGTAGATAGAGTTGTTTGAACATGGAATATTTTGCAGCCACTTCCTTCACAACTTTACTTCTTGTCTTAGCAATCACCTTATTTTTCTTCACGATCAAATCCAACAAGAAAGTCAAGAAACACCCATTGCCTCCAGGTCCAAAACCATGGCCTATTATTGGATGCCTCCCTACCATGCTCCGAAACAAGCCAGTTCCTCGATGGATACATAATCTCATGAAAGAAATGAACACTGAAATAGCTTGTATCCGTCTAGGAAACGTTCATGTAATTCCTGTCACTTGTCCTGATATCGCATGTGAATTCTTAAAGGCAAAAGATGATATCTTTGCGTCTCGGCCAAATATCATGTCCGCCAAAATTGTGTCAAGAGATTACTTAACAACAGTTCTCACTCCCTTTGGAGACCAATGGAATAAAATGAAGAAAGTGATGATGACACAAGTGCTTTCTTCTGCAAGACATCAGTGGCTTCATAGAAAAAGAGTTGAGGAAGCCGATCACCTTGTTCATTACGTGTATAACCAATGCAAGAAAGTTGTAGATCAAGAAGGGGTAATCAATTTGAGAATCGCTGCACAACACTACTGTGCAAATTTGGTTAGGAAGATGATGTTTAATATGAGGTTTTTTGGCGAGGGCATGGAAGATGGTGGGCCCGGTTTCGAAGAAGAACAGCATGTGGAAGCAATTTTCACTATCCTTAATCATTTATTTTCATTTTGTATCTCTGATTTTTTGCCATCTCTAGTAGGCTTTGACTTAGATGGCCATGAGAAGGTGGTGAAGGAGAGTCATGGGATCATCAACAAATATCATGATCCCATAATTGACCAAAGGGTTCAACAATGGAAGGATGGCACGAAGAAGGATATGGAGGACTTGCTTGATGTATTAATTACCCTAAAAGATGACAATGGCAATCCTTTGCTGTCAAAAGATGAGATCAAAGCTCAAACTACGGTGAGTTTTACATGCAATTAAATTTTGAATTCCAAATATATATCTTAGCGATGATTTTGAAACATTAAGACATTTCATTTTGTAGGAAATAATGATGGCAACAGTGGACAATCCATCAAATGCTTGTGAATGGGTATTTGCAGAGATGTTAAATCAACCCGAGTTATTTGAAAAGGCTATTGAAGAATTGGACAGAGTGGTTGGAAAAGAAAGACTAGTCCAAGAATCCGACTTTGCGCAGCTCAATTACGTGAAGGCATGTGCTAGAGAAGCCTTTAGGCTTCACCCCATTGCACCATTTAACCCCCTCATGTGTCAGTCGCCGATACGACAGTCGCCAACTACTTCATCCCGAAAGGTAGCCACGTTTTGCTCAGTCGGCAAGGGCTCGGTTCTAACCCTAAAGTATGGGATGAGCCACTCAAGTTCAAACCAGAGCGTCACCTCAATGGAACAAACAAAGTGGTGCTCACTGAGAATAATCTGCGATTCATTTCGTTTGCAACAGGAAAACGTGGGTGCATAGGTGTGACGCTTGGGACTTCCATGACTACCATGCTATTTGCAAGACTTCTTCAAGGGTTTACTTGGAGTTTACTACCTGGCCAGTCCTGTATCCACCTTACAAAAGCAGAAGACATCATGGCACTTGCAAAACCACTGCTTGCACGTGCAAAACCACGCTTGCCTCCACATTTGTATCATTAGATATAAGCATATTGTGCTAGAACATTTCATAATGTAATAAACTATGACAAAGAGAAAGTATGTCTCCATTGAACGTGTTAATGCAATGGCAAGTGAGTTTCTGTCATAACGAAAAATATTAAATTTAAGTATGATTCCAATAACAATTAATCATCGAATTAATTATTTGAGATTAAATACGTGTTTTTTGAGGATTTGTTAAGTGAATTCAACATTTTGATACAGGAAAACAGCTAAGGGTGGACATAAAGAAGACTCAAATATCATATTTTATTAATATTTATTAACTCTATTGTAGTATTATCACTATCCCTATTTATGATTCGCACAAACACACACAATATGCACAATATGCTAAAAAAAGTTATTGAAAATCAAGAAATGAAAGTGCTTCATGACGGAAATATATAAACAAAACTATAAAAATGTTTTGAATTTGCATGGACAAATCCCATCTTTCCTCTCATCATTTTCTTCTCTATTTGGCCACTATTTTATAACATGGATAATATGGAATAGATTCGGCGTACATGTTCGAAATGAAGGAATAGGCAAGACCCTCTTTTTAATTAAATCTAATTAAAATTTATATAAACCAAAGCTAAGTTTGAAAAAAATAAATAGAATAGATGGATTTCATAATTAATTACATGGATAAACAAAAAAATGTTTTTCTGTGTTTATTTTGTTTAAAATATTTTACAGTCAATTTATATGTTAGTGGGCCATCGGGCCATTGAGCTGGACAGCCTCTCTTATCCTCTCTTTCTTTTTTACGGGCTCTGGATGGGCTGAGATCAGCCCAGCCCATGACGCATACGAGTTGGGCTTATCCAAGCCCAACCCAGTTTCTTTCCTGGCCTGACTAAATCCTTTAACAAAATTTCATTTTGTTTCTGGTTCTTTCCTGGCCTGACTAGTTAATTACGGGTAATTAGGATAAAACCTGTCATATTAACGCATAAATTGAGCACAAACAATGCCCTTTTTTCCCTTTTTCTTTTATAAGCCAGATGATCAAGTTAGCTGTTAAGACACCTAAGGTAAACGCGTAATTGATCGAGCACCAATATTGCCTTGCATGTGTTCTCCTACTCGGAAAAGATTTGATTTAGCCATTGTTGTTTTGCTTAAATTCTTAATTAATTAACCAGTATCTCCTCAGCCATAAGCAGGTTGATGTAGCGATCAAAAAGTTTCTCATAAAATGTTTATCCATAAAGTTCTACGAATTCAAATCTCACTTATTGTAATACATAGTTGGTGATATATTTAACTCTCAATGCATGATCGCAGTTATCTTCGAAAAAACTTTATATAGATAAGATGAAGATCCCATCAAACAGATATCTCCTCAGTCTACACCCCATCAAAACTAATCTGAAGTTGTACGACGATCCTTTGGATAGGTCCATGCAACAAAACGCAGTTGGATACTTCTGTCAAAAAAAAAAAAAAAACATTGCCAAGTACGTAATTAATTACTCATTATATATCCTTAGGTTTTGGATTGGCTTTTGCATTTTTTTTAAAAAATTATATGAGAGGAGATAGATTTCTTAAGAGGATCTGCTGAGAGATAACAAAAATTAAAGGTTTTGGATTGAAGAAGTTAAGTTACAAGATCCATGAAGGAGATAATTTAAGCATATAAACAAATATTTCAAGGGGCCTATACTTCGGCCGGCCCAATCTCACTGAATGCCAGGGTCCAATTTGCCTACTCCTACCGGCCTGTTATTAAAAAAAAAAAAAAAAATCCAATTACTATATGAAAAAAATGTATTCCTATTGCATAGTATCTATTGAGAAACTGGCAAGAACCTCTTTTTAATTAAATCTAATTAAAATTTAAATAATCAAAAGCTAAGATTGAAAAAAAATGATATGTGCAAATAGAATGAATGGATTTCATAATTAATTAAATAGATAGATTGAAAAATGTTTTTTCTGTATTTGTTTTACGTAAAATATTTTACTATCAACCTATAAACTTGAATTTGGTGGAAAAATATTTTCAATTCATTGAGTTTCATAAAAAATTTACGAAGAGTGTCCAATTTACAATATCAGTTTTTGAGGCTAATAATTTAGAGTTAGAGGGATTATTGAGCCTTCTGAAAAATATGAGGTCATTTTTCATGTCAAATCCTCCTAGAGAGATTCAAACTAGGCTAAAAAGAAAAAGCTCCCTTCATTGTTTATTACCTTTATATGTACGGTCCTTCTTTCAATATTTGTATGTTTACAACTTTTAGCTTTACAATTTATATATATATACTTTCGTCATCAAATTATTTGTAGCTTAACGAAGAGTTTAAGCATGCGATAGATGCCAAAAAAAAAACCATTTTAATTAAAATTTGAATTATTAGTCAAATAGATTTTATAAATACCATGTCAAAATCACCACAATTCAATTAATATTTAACTAAGATAATTAATAGACAAAGTTTTGCAATCCAAATGGTCAATTAAGATATTGGATAATTAATAGTTCTACATTAACTCTCTCTAATATTTAGAGTTTTTGGAACTAGAAAGTTTTGATGGAGATAGTTTTTTGAGATACAGTGAACCAACATAGTGGCATGTGATGCATATTGAAAAGGGAAAAGATCAATCGTCAAAGTCGGTTTGACCTTAATTTGCTCGAAAGACAAACGTTTACCACGACAAAACTATTCAACTGGTTTCAATTATGTCCCTATTTGTAGTCGGCTTATATCATTGTCCTTGTCTCCCTAGCTAACCGATTAATATTTTGTGGCTGTGAAATTTCGGTGTTTCAAATTATCTGAATTTCTAAATGAGTATCCTCCATTCAAAAGGACAGAAACCACGAAATTGATCACCAGCTAGCTACATGCATCAGAATGTTAAATAGCTGAAAGTCTTAGACAATATGTATATCATATTAAATAAATAAATAAACAATAAGTAATATATGAAGTTGAGAAGATGTCACAGATTATTATAAAATTTAAGTTTTTTTAATAGAATCTAATCTTAATTATCAAAGTTAATAGAATAAAAAACCACTGTGATTTTGAATCATGCATAATTGATGGTTTTTTTTAAGTGTTTTTTTGTTTTACAAGTTGCAAGTCATATACTACGGACGCAAACTAGTTTTTCGTTCTGGCTATGAACAATGCTAGAGGATGGTAAAATATAGGACATTCATGGTGTGTCCAAGTTTTAGGAGCACGTGGACGATAGGTCGTTTGGGTGAATCCCAAATTTGTCCTATCATCTGTTTTCAATGTTCAATTAGGTCCATGTCGGTTTAGGTTTGCTTCAATTTTAATCCATGGGAATCATTATGGTCCTTAAATTTTTAATTATTTTTTATTAGATACATGTACCTTGTAATTTTAATCATGCAGTTCCCAATAGTTTCAATTATACCTCCAATTACTCTAATTGTGATTTCATTTGATTCAGTTGTGTCCCCGACAGTTGAACACACACACACACACGCACACATACACATATATATATTTTGTGAGTGTGTTTTTTGGATAAATTCTAATAAAGTAAACATAAAATAAAAAATAAAGAGGAAGAAAATTTTGGGTTATAATAGTTGTCCTCTCTTTATAATGTTTATGTTGTGCAAACTTCAAACTAGGTTTGCATAGTGAATTTGTTAAAAAAAATGTAAATCGGATAACGAGAACAACAAAAATGATCCGATCGTTTCGGATAATCTTTAGTAAAATGTGATGATCGATCTTATTGTAAAGGATAGGTTGCAATAATCTCATTATGTAAGATGATTTGTTTTGAAAAATAAAATACGATAGTCGTTAGACAACTCCGTTTAAATGCAGTCCATATATCTTCTAAGGAAGCATCATTCCTCCCTTTTCCTTCAATGCTGTACACTATCTGACATGCATAGAAATAGTAATAGTAAATTTGATACCCAGTTCCATATAATCCTTAGTTCTCATCAAACTTCGTTGTGCATTTGGTGTTTGTATGATTTGATTACTGTTTCCATACTGTATGTTGCCCCTAGATTGCCGGAAATAACAACTTATAGATCATATTGCTTCCAAGAGTTTCATCTGCTTAAATTTGTTTGAATTTCATTTTCCTTCAATTTCTTACTGTCCTATTTGCTTACTTTGAATTTGAGTTCTGCCCTAACGAATTATTTTTCTGGCGCTGGCCATTGTTTTTCTAGTTCTGAATTTGCATTAATATCCATGCTGCTGTAGGAATTGAAGTACCAGCCAGGGATTACAGCATTGATAAGTGCAAATAGAATGAATGGATTTCATAATTAATTAAATACATCAATTGAAAAAAGTTTTTTCGGTGTTTGTTTTGCGTAAAATATTTTACTATCAACCTATAAACTCGATCAGTTAATTTGGTGGAAAAATATTTTTAATTTATTGAGTTTCATAAAAAAATTTACCGACAGTGTCCAATTTACAATATCAATTTTTGAGGTTAATAATTTAGAGTTAGAGGGATTATTGCGCCATCTGGAAATATGAGGTCATTTTTCATGTCAAATCCTCCTAGAGAGATTCAAACTAGCTAGGGTAAAAATAGAAAGCTCCCTTCATTGTTTGTTACCCTTTACATGTACGTTCTTTCTTTCAATACTTGCATGTTTACAACTTTAAGCTTTATAATTTTTATAATTTTATAATTTTTTGATTTTTTGATTTTTTTATTTTTACCTTCATCATCAAATTATTGATAGCTTACCGAAGAGTTTAACCATGCTATAGATGCCAAAAAAAACCTTTTTAATTAAAATTTGAATTATTAGTCAAATAGATTTTATTAATACCATGTCAAAATCACCGCAATTCAATTAATATTTAATTAAGATAATTAACAGACAAAGTTTTGCAATCCAAATATTCAATTAAGATATTGGATAATTAATAGTTCTACACTAACTCTCTCTAATAGTTAGAGTTTTTTGAACTGGAAAGTTTTGATGGAGAGATTTTTTGAGATACGGTGAACCAAAATAGTGGCAGGCGATGCATATTGAAAAGGGGAAAGATCAATCGTCAAAGTCGGTTTGACCTTAATTTGCTAGAAAGACAAACGTTTTCCACGACAAAACTATTCAACTGCTTTCAATTGTGTCCCTATTTGTTGTCGGTTTATATCATTGTCCTTGTATCCCTAACCATTAATATTTTGTGGCTGTGAAATTTCGGTGTTTCAAAGTATCTTAATTTCAATTACATTGTCCAGGAATTACTATGTTATTTTCCCCCATTCACAGAGACACAGACCATGAATTAAACATCAGCTTGCTGCTGCATGCATCAGAATTTCTAAATGAGTATCGTCCATTCAAAAAGACACCAACCATGAAATTGATCATCAGCTAGCTACATGCATCAGAATGTAAAATAGCTGAAAGTCTTATATATATATATATATATATATATAAATCAATTTTGTATTCTACAGTACTGAAAGTATGAAAAAGTTCAGCAAGAAGATTAATGGTTTTGCCGACACCCGAGTAAGAGATAGGAAAAGAATTTCTCTTGTAGCAGAAAGAACATACCCAAATGCGAGACTGATAATCTATACGAGCACAAGGGTTCAATCATCGAGTGCAAATTAGAGAGTCTCAAGGTAGAATTGGAATCTCAGTTGATTGCATCAGTGGAGGGCATATGACGCTAAGTAGGATTACAATTAAAGAAAAGGATTGAATATTATCAATTAAAAAAAAATCCAATTACAATAAAAAAAAAAATGTATTCCTATTGCATAGTATTTATTTAGGAAGAACGGGCAAGAACCTGTTTTAACTTTTTAATTAAATCTAACTAAAAATTAAATAAACCAATTAAAGGTAAGTTAGAAAAAAATCGATATCTGCAAATAGAATAAATGGATAGATAGAGAAAAGTTTTTCTGTGTTTGTTTTATATAAAATATTTTACAGTCAACCTATAAGTTCAGTTTATTTGTTGAAAAATATTTTTAACTTATCAAAGTTTTATAAAGTATTTCATGGACAGTAACCAACTAACACTATATCAGTTTTTGAGGCTAATAATTATTTAGACTTGGAGGGATTATCAGTTTTTGAACCAACATAGTGGCATGTGATGCATATTGAAAAGGCAAAAGATTAATCGTCAATGGTTGGACCTTAATTTCCTTGAGGAACAAACGTACGTTCTATCTCTAACCGAGTAATATTTTGTGGCTGTGAAATTTCAGTGTTTCAAATTATCAGAATTTCTAAATGATGAACCCCAGATCCTCAATTATGGGTTGAAAGTTCAACTAACGGCTCAGTGGGTTGTCTATTTAACAGGAGTAAACAAAACGTTATAGATGATCAAACATGTTACACTTTTACAAAATTTTCTTACATAAAGCCACGCAAGAAACCCCAACATGTCGAGAACAGTATTAGATATGTATGAAAAAAAATATTATATACATATAACGCATTACACATTTATAGTGTGTGGGATTATTCAGGACCCTTCCTATTGAATTTTTTTATATATATATAGAAAGCCACGCAAGGAACACCAAGCATGTCAAGAACAATAGTAGATAGAGTTGTTTCATCATGGAATATTTTGCTGCTACTTTCTTCACAACCTTATTAAACTTAACAACTTTACTTCTTGTCTTAGCAATCACCTTATTTTACTTCACGATCAAATCCAACAAGAATATCGAGAAACACCCATTGCCTCCCGGTCCAAAACCATGGCCTATCGTTGGATGCCTCCCTACCATGCTCCGAAACAAGTCAGTGCCTCGATGGATACATAATCTCATGAAAGAAATGAACACTGAAATAGCTTGTATCCGTCTAGGAAACGTTCATGTAATTCCTGTCACTTGTCCTGATATCGCATGTGAATTCTTAAAGGCAAAAGATGATATCTTTGCGTCTAGGCCTAATATCATGTCCGCCAAGATCGTGTCAAGAGATTACTTAACAACAGTTCTCACTCCCATTGGAGACCAATGGACGAAAATGAAGAAAGTGTTGATGACACAAGTGCTTTCTTCTGCAGGACATCATTGGCTTTATAGAAAAAGAGTTGAAGAAGCTGATCACCTCGTTCATTACGTGTATAACCAATGCAAGAAGGTTGTAGATCAAGAAGGGATAATCAATTTGAGAATGGCTACACAACACTACTGTGCAAATTTGGTTAGGAAGATGATGTTTAATGTGAGGTTTTTGGGCGAGGGAATGGAAGATGGTGGACCTGGTTTCGAGGAAGAGCGGCATGTGGAAGCAATTTTCACTATCCTTAATCATTTATTTTCATTTTGTGTCTCTGATTTTTTGCCATCTCTAGTAGGGTTTGACTTAGATGGCCATGAGAGGGTGATGAAGGAGAGTCATGGGATCATCAATAAATATCATGATCCCATAATTGACCAAAGGGTTCAACAATGGAAGGATGGCACAAAGAAGGATGTAGAGGACTTGCTTGATGTATTAATTACCCTAAAAGATGACAATGGCAATCCTTTGCTGTCAAAAGATGAGATCAAAGCTCAAACTACGGTGAGGTTTACATGCATTTAAATTTTGAATTCCAAATATATATCTTAGCAATGATCAACATCAAGACGTACATTTCATTTCGTAGGAAATAATGATGGCAACAGTGGACAATCCATCAAATGCTTGTGAATGGGCATTTGCAGAGATGCTAAACCAACCCGAGATATTTGAAAAGGCTATTGAAGAATTGGACAGAGTGGTTGGAAAAGAGAGACTAGTCCAAGAATCAGACTTTGCGCAGCTCAATTACGTGAAGGCATGCGCTAGAGAAGCCTTTAGGCTTCACCCCATTTCACCATTTAACGTGCCTCATGTGTCAGTTGTTGATACGACAGTGGCCAACTACTTCATCCCGAAAGGTAGCTATGTTTTGCTCAGTCGGCAAGGGCTCGGTTCCAATCCTAAAATATGGGATGAGCCACTCAAGTTCAAACCAGAGCGCCACCTCAGTGGAACAAACAACGTGGTGCTCACTGAGAATAATCTGCGATTCATTTCGTTTTCAACAGGAAAACGTGGATGCAAAGGTGTGACGCTTGGAACTTCCATGACTATCATGCTATTTGCAAGACTTCTTCAAGGGTTTACTTGGAGTTTACCACCTGACCAATCCTGCATCGACCTTACCATTGCAGAAGACAGCATGGCACTTGCAAAACCACTGCTTGCTCTTGCAAAACCACGCTTGCCTCCACATTTGTATCCTGGATGCTAAAGCAATATATGTGTGTGTGTGATCATTAGATATTAGCATATTGTGCCAGAACATTTAATAATGTAATGAACTATGACAAAGAGAAAGTACTATATCTCCAATGAACGTTTTAATGCAACGGCAAGTGAGTTTCTGTCATAACCATTTTAAACAAAAAAAATTAAATTATTAAGTAAGATTCCAATCATAATTAATCACCAAATTAATTATTTGAGATTAGATACGTGCTCTTTGAGAATTTATTAAGTGAATTCAATATTTTGACGCAGAGAACCGGCTAAGGGATGGACATAAAGACGTTTCCAATATTATTTCTTTGACACTCATTTCTTTACAAGATATATAAAAAATTTAGGGATTTAAAAATGAAGACTAATTAATTGAAATTATTCCACGTTATAGACTGTTGGATTTGAAGCACAAATTGAGATGGTGCCTGTAATTAAAGCACAACCCAACTATAGACATTTTGTGTCCAAAATTTTGAGCTAGGGTTTGACATGATTTTTGATGCACTCCCATCACCACTGTCCTGTTACTATCGCTATCCCCATCTTTCCCAACCACCACCATTCTACTCCCATGATATTTTATTAATAATTATTAACTTTATCTACTATCCTAGTATTATCACTATCCATATATATCATTCGCACAACACACACATTATGCTAAAAAATTTTATTGAAAATCAATAAAATGTACTTGATGACCGAAATAAACATAACTATACAAATGTTTAAATTTCTATTGACAAATCCCATCTTTTCTCTCATCATTTTCTTCTCTATTTGGCCAATATTTTATACACATGGATAATATGGAATAAATTCGGGGTACATGTTCGAAATAAAAACATTACCAAATCACCTAATATATATAGGTTCTATAATGAATAAATTTAAATTAATGGACTGAAATGAAAGTTATACGAAATTCTTGACTTGGGGGAGAAAACGTTATTTCATATGCAAGACCAAATCGTATAAATTTGAAGCACATAAACCAAAATGAATATAATTCCTGAAATTATCTCTCAAAGTGGAACTATTTTTTATCTCATCAGTTTCCTCTTCAACTAAACCAATTTGAGCTACAGCAAAACACTATTTTTTATAGTATATGTGGCTATAATTATTTGACGATGGATGGAGATATGAGGTCATTTTTCATTAACCAAATATATATATATATGTTAGTTTTTAGTTGTTAGAGGCTAATAATTTAGATTAGAGTAATTATTCCGCCATCTTGAAATATGAGATCATTTTTCAAGCCAAATCTCAGAGAGATTCAGAGCAGGGGCTTCTCGTTGGTCGATTAGGACTCCTACCAATCTAGCCGGTAAGGGATGCACTCTTTTTTTTTTTTTTTTTTGGAATTATTTTGTGATAATTGAAGAGATTTTGATCATGAAATATCCTAAAGGAATTAAGTTGTTTACTTTGTGTGGATTGTTGAGAAGCATGCTTGAAATTTTGAGATTAGGATTCTGATTTCCTACACGCTATTTATTTCCATACGAGAGTCCTAGTCTTTACGGTTACAGACGCATGTTGTCCATAAGAGAATTCCTCTTTCTCTTATCGTTTTACACATGTATATATGATAATTAATATTTTGTATTTTAATTAATTAGATATATGTTAAATATCATATATTATATGGATTACAATTAATATTACATTCTATGTGCATGCATGCATCATGTATCATTTCAAAATGCATGTATCATGTGAGTCATGATGAATTTTATAATTTATATATATATAAATAACAGTTAATTTTATATTTTAAATCAGAATCCTAATCATAGACTATTGGATTTGAAGCACAAATTAAGATGGTTCATGTAATTAAAGCACAACACCCAATATATGTTACCAAAGAAATGGTAATGAGAATAGAATTAAAGAGAAAAATGATAAAAAAAAAAAAGTCACTATGAAGTAAAATGAATATAAAAGATAATCATTTCAAATAATTTTCTCAATCTCTACAAAAGACTTCTACACAAACTAGTTAACAATTAAACCTATTTATAGGTTTCAAGATTAAGAAGAGGATTGAAAGAGACTATGAATCATTTAAAAGGTGTATAAATAATTGAATCAATTGCATCACCCTTTCAATTTATTACATTGAATGGTGAATTGAATTACATGAGTAGTGAAAATATAAAATAATCATCAACCTTCATTATTTTATAACTCTCCATTTTAAATATCCATCATACAAAGAACATGACTCGTTAAAACCTTATTAAAAAAAATCTAGTGGGAAAAAATCATGATAAAAGAAAAATAGTATAATATTTCTTACACACATTAATCTCTATGTTAGACTTCTCTTGTTGAAAATATCATTTAGGATCTTTAAGAAGATGCCTCCGTTGCGAACTATTTTCTCAAAAATTATGATAGGTAATGTCTTAATGAATAAGTCTCGCTAGATTGTCACTTTGATTTATTCTTTTTTTAATTGAATAATGCAAGCAGCATTATCTTCATATAATATTGTTGAAATTTCTTCACTGCTCGATAGATAAACCGCATGTCTCTCAAATATGATAAGTCATTAATCTTATCCAAACACATTCTCGAATTACCTCATGAATTGATATTTCTACATGATTTGAATAAGTAGCATTTATAGTTTTCTTCATAGAACATGATATTGTTGTATCACTATGTATAACTACATAACTAATTTGTAATCGAGTTTTATATGGATTAGATAAATAACTTGCATCCGCATATATAACTAATTAAACTTGACTTATTTGAGTAAAATAAATACATTTTTTCTTGGAGATAACATAAGAAATATTTAATTCCATTCCAATATCTTTGTATTAGAGTAAAACTATGTCTCGCTAATAAATTTATAAAAAATGCTATATCAAGTCAAGTATTATTAGTAAGCTATATCAATACCCCAATTGCACTAAGATATGATACTTCGGGATCAAGTAATCTTTTGTTATCTTCTCAAGATCGAAAAAAGATCTTTTTGAATATTAAGTGAATGAACTACCATTTGGCTAGTCAATGAATGAACTTTATATAAAATCATTGTAGAAATTTTTCTATATAAATTGACTGGTGAATAATAATCTCATTCTCTAAGTACTCAAACTGCAGGTCAAGATAAAAGTTTGCTTTCCCAAGATATTTCATATGAAATTCTCTTTTTAGATAACTTATGACACTTGAAATCTCTTCAAGAATTTCAATAATATTTAAATCATCAACATATACATCAATTATCACAAACCCTTTCGAATTTCTTTATAAAAATACATGAACAAATATGATTATTTTTATAACCTTCTTTTAACAAATATTCATTAAAGCAATTATACTACGTTCATCCAGATTAGTAATAAAGAATAGATATTGAAAAATAAAATATAAAAAGTATACTATAAATCAAATTTCTAAAAACTATAGTTATAAAATAATAAAACAAACACTAAAATAATTCTTATAGAGATCTCTATAATTTAATTGAGTATATTTTTTAAAAATACGTATTACATATTTCCAGCATCTTAAATTCTTTTAAAACTTTCATATAAATATCATTTTCAAATGAATAAATAAGCTCGTGATCACATTCAATAAATGTATACATATGAAGATTTTCATATATTTTGTGAGGCTAACAAGATAACGAAATGTAATTGTTTTCGTTACGGAAGAATATGTCTCTTCATAATCAATGTCACGTCTTTGTGAAAACTCTTAGATTACAAGTCTTGTTTTGTATCTCACAATCTTATATTTCTTATTTCGTTATTGCATAAATATTCATTTATATTCTACCGGCTTAACATCTTCGAGTGTTTTAATTATGAATTCAAAAACTACTCATTTGTAAGAGTATATAATTCTATCCGAATTGCTCTTTTTATTCGAGCCAATAATCTATATGTCGACATTCTTCAATAAATTTAGGCTTGTGATCCTAATTTTCATTAAAAATATTAATTGCAACAATATATATAAAAATATCATTAATAAATATTTCTTTTTGGTCCTACTTTCTCCTTATGTTAACTTAATTTATCAAAGTCTCTTGATTTTTCTCAAATATTTAAATTTCTTCTAGAAGCCTACAATATATATATCAAAATAAATTTGTAACTATCATTATACAATAGAAATTATAAGAAAACGTAAAACGTCTTATTTATAAATAGAAAAAGATAAGAAGTCATTAATTTCAATTATCATCATTTTGATATATAAAAATTGGCCTTTATATTTTATCTTTTTTTTTTTCAACGAGACTTGATAAGGCTCAACGAAGTGCTTTGGTTTACGACGGATACGGACCAATATCCCTTCATGCCGGATCTATAACATTCATTTTCAAAATGCCGACTTAGCTCATTTTTATTCTTTTGTTATTTTTTCATAGTTTATCCACTTTTGATGGTGATTTGTATTATTATGGTCATCACAATTATAACAATATCTATTTCAACACGATTGTAATTATGTCTACGTCTTCATCTATGTCTAAAATTATTGTAAGTTGTTATATTCACTTCAAGGAATGAAGTAGACCAAATTGGACAGAATTTGTAATTTTTCATCAAATAACTCGTTATTTTATTTAGTTACAAACAAATATGAATCAATTCAAAATATTTTTTAAATCTTTTTTCTCGATATTTCTACTACAAGAGCATATTCAAGGAATGAAAAGTAGATAATATTTTCTCGGCATCAAATACCCATGATCAATAATTCTTGCTTGAAATGTCAAGGGTCGCAAAATTAAGTTTTGTCGAGTTTGATATGATAAAAATTCTATAATATGAGATATAATAATAATGTTATGAAACATAATAATAAAATTTAAGCTTTTCAAATAATATATATTAAATTATTAAATTTTATATATTAAATCATTAAATTTTTTCAAATGTATACTCTATGTATTATTAGAATTAAAGTAAAGGATGAATTAGATACATATATGTTAATTAT